TCTAAAACATCTTACTACCATTCAGAAGCAGATTTCTCGGGACATGCTCACAAAAGTCGAGTGGATGCCCTTCTTTCGATCCGTCCTATCTACTTGCTTCCACAAGCACAGATGAATTGATATACTCAGTTGGAGGTGATGTGAGATGGGTATTTGTTTACTTTCGACTGTGTTATTGAGCATACTGTATTATAAACTGAGATCGCTGTGGCAGTGAGGAAGCCCCTTTTATTCTTCTGTCTATATTCTCAGATGTCTCATCACCTTTGAATATAAGGCGAAGGAAAACATGCATCTTCTCAGCAGTGTGTATGTATATAGTCTCCCCTTTTCTTTTGATTCCATCATCTCTTCATTAATTACTTACTGACTGTCAGTCAGTTAAAGATTTTCGAGTTTCTCATGTAACTACGTAACTTATTACCTCTTATACAGTCCCTTCTTTCACATAGATTTTCGCTTGTTGTCCCCTCACTCCGCAGCTCTACAGTTTTCTATCTCATCACATATAAATTGCCATTGAGTTTGACTATAAATCCTGTTTTTCTTCGGCTCACCCACTACCTTATTGTTAATCCTGGATTTCAAGTCTCCATTTATTTCTGCATATTTCAAGTATGTTATGCCATTTTGAACACAACTATTAATACTTCATTTCAATTGTAGGCTATTTGCAGCTGATGAAAGGCCATGTGATCAAATGAGCTCATTTCATTCTGCAAATATCTTTGCTCTTGAATTGCTCAAATTTGTGAAGGGAACTGATTGCATGACATCGTCTAGGTTATCGATACCTGCTTTATAGTAAAATGATTCTCCTCAGGATATTCGAGGTAACCGTGAGTATAATCTTACAAACTACTCTTCAAATGAATGCAGACGTTTAGATACAAACAAATAAGTTCTTTTGTATTGCGTAAGATCACTTTGAGATAAGCCTGTCAACAATGATCTATCATGTTGGCTTTGTGGTCACCATATAGCAACACTATCTGACTGTCTCCTGGATTCCTTTTTGAAGAGAAACTGTGCATTCATTGTACAGCTTAAGAGAAGGTCTTTCAAGGTAGTTGCTGTAATTCTGATTTCTATATTTTTGTCCTTTAGTTAGCTACTTTTGAATACCTCTGTTTCCATCAAGGGGAGATCGGTGATGTATTTTGCATCCAGTGAAGTATTGTAGTAATCAAGATTATCACATCCATCTGGAAGAATTAAAAATATTTAACTACATAAGTTTAAAACATACATCTCATTGAACTGATACTTTTCAAATACAGTGAACCGACTGATTGTTCCTTCTTTCTTGATTGGCTAATATCGCTTGATAGGATCACCTAAACAACACCATTACAGTATAGTATAGAGGGCGGGTATATTTAAATTTAGCCGGTTGAATAAATGTTATCTGATTGGTGAACTGTGATTCTTGTTGTACGACGATGGTTACTGAAGCCCAGAGAAAATATACGTTGTTGTATGACTTGAAGTGATGGTTTTTGATTACCACTGTGTCACTCTAACATCTTTTCTACTAGTCAATTCGTAATTTTCCTTCAGTTCCTTAGGTGTCTGCATGGTTGCTATAGAGTTTGAGGGAATGTGAGCGTCTATTTATCGTTACCTTGTATACTCATCAAAGTTTTTTCATACATATTCAGTCATCAGTATAGCAGGAAACACTCAGTAACTATTTTCAGGTTTGTGCAGTATGTTGAGACACACCTGTCAATTCTACACACTACCAATCTCTTCATGTTCAATCTTGAATGCTCACCGAATCATTTTGCAATATAGCCACTAAGCTAAATGATCCATTATCGTGGTGCATTTTTATAGGTGTTAGTTGGTTGTGGATAATCAACAGCAAGTGCTGTTCCATGTGGATTTCGCAGTTGTTAGTACTCGTCGACAAGATGTACCTGAAACCTCAAAAGAACTAATTTCCTATCAGAAATGTTAACCGGTGTCACTCAATGTTACAGCTATAGAACGTTATCACCGAGCAGACACGGGTTCTTTGTACTGTTCCCTTCAGAATCAGTATATCAAGCATAGTTGCATTTCTTGACTTTGTATTGCTGATATGAATGCTACTTAATTCATTTTAGCTTACACTGACTGTTCTACTCGAGTGTACAACCATATCACAACTAGCTAAATATAACTAGTTATTCAATGAAAATTACTTCTTAACTTTGAATCGGTTCAGTTACACATAGTCAGCTAAATAATAGACACAGGATATTAGTTGCATATTCTATTATAACATTAGAGTTTTTAAAAATTCTTTGTTTGTTTGTGTGTATGTGTGCGCGCGCTTGAATTCTGAAGTAGACAGACTGTTACTGATAAGTTTGCCGTCTAATGACCAATAAAGTAGTTACATTTTTTAGTTGTCTAGATTATAGTTGTTTCAAGACTCAGTAATTTACACTCAGTGTTTTATCTCTTATTCTGGGAGCTAGAACCTACCAAGTGAAAGAATTTGTTTTGGTAAACATGAAGATCAGAGTAATACCTCTTCTGTGCTACTTTAAATTACTCACCCAAATGTAGATCTGTTATTTTTCATACGTTTATTAAATGCATTAAGGTATAACTCCATGATAAGGTGTGACTGGAATGTACGGTGTGAGTTTACCTCCCCTTGAAATTCGTTATATCTCTGGATCCGCATCATGTAAAGCTGTTCTCAATACGAGCTTACTACAGCGTTATTACACTGGATTACCATCCTCAGAAAGAGTGGATTACTATAAACAACTTACATTTTCATGATAAGTGCATTTGGTCGTTAGTACGCTTAGTGATTTCCAGTCATAAATGATTCTAGCCTAAAAATGATAAGTTTATTGAATGTTGATAATATTTCTGATTCCTGTAGACATCACTAAATAGATCAATTGCAATCCCAATAGGTTACCTGTTGTACAGCATCCTAGTATGATCACAGATCCTGACCTCCGAAATCAACATATTTAGCATAAATCAATCTTAAGCAGCTTTGTTGCCAAGTAATGCTGCAAGAATAGCCCACAGCCACTCCCATTTTAAGGTTAGACAACGAGGTGCGATAATGAATCAAAGAGTTGTATCAACCTGACCACTCTGGTTGCTCGTAAAATCTCAGCTCGGATACAAAAAGGCTCTGTGGCATTTGTCAAATCACCACGTCTTTAAAGCGCCCAGTGGAAAGCTCTCCGAATATCAATCAAAGGTAGACTGTACTGTGCTGTAGTCCACTCCGTCCTGCTTCACGATTGTGAGAAACCGCCGCTAAAAGTAGCAGATATGAAAAGATGACAAATCTTGGAACACATGTCTATCCACAGCATTGCTCATACAAGATGGAAATATCATGCGAGTAGTGTCAAAGTTAGGTGAAGAGTACATGCCAACAAGATAGATATGTTTTATACACGCCAAGCATCAAACACCATCAACGAGAGAAACCTAAAGAAAGTAGTCTTTTCCACCTACCTACCTAGGCAGCATCATTTCAACTACAGGCGTCGACGATGGCACAGACGAGGATGTCAAAACCAGGATCGGAAAGACAGCAAGATAGGCTTTCATTAATCTGAAATCATGGTGGAGATCTACTGCACTCATCACAGAGAACAAGATCCGAACTTTCAACACCAATGTCAAGTCAGTGCTTCCATGTGATGGTTCACAAACTTGGCGTGTCACAAAAACCATTTCCAATAAACTACTGACACTCATCAACAGCCGCCACCTACGCTCACCGGATACTGAAGATCAGGTGGCCAAAAAGAATAAGCAACAAGGAACTGTGGCTAGCAACCAACCAACCAAGAACCTATCACCCAACAAATATGCAGAGGAAGATGGTGGAGGTGGATTGGGAATACACTGAGAAGACCGATTGGGGACACCACACGCCATGCAATGCCAGGCAGTCGAGTGGAATCCGAAGGGGAGACGACGAGTTGGGCGTCTAATTCTAGGGTGACGTAGAGGAGATCATGTGAGGAAGAGTTGAAAGCTTGTGGGGAGTGGTGGTGACAGGTTTTGAAGACTGCAGAGAAGAGAGTGGGGTGTAGGCGTGCTACTGAATCCTTATATTCCACTAGAAACTCGAGGGACAAAAAATCAAATTGTGCGCATTTAAATTTCCAGGGTTGATTAAAACAGTTCCAATCTCACAATGACCATTGAACATTAATAGTATGAGAAGAAAAGAAAGTTTGCAAAATTTGTTTTATAAGTGTTTAACTTTATTTGTGAAATCCAAACGGAAGATAGATAACTTTGGAGTAAATTCTTTATAAAAAATAAATTACGGATTCATTTAAAAATTAATATTTTTATAACTGCTCGTATCACAAGAATTATATGCATGTCAGTGTATGCATTCATATGAACGACATCGCACTTGTCTATGCAGAGTGCTTACATGTCAGAGTGAGTGAATGAATAATTGAATGTGCAAAATGAATACGATTTATTTGATTCACGTATTCCTATGAGCACAAAAGAAGCACAATAGCATAGAGAAAGACACATAGACAGTGAATGATAGACAGACAGACAGATAGACAGACAGGCACACATAAACATAGAGATAAGAGCACACTTTCACTATTTGGATCATTGATCAATCAATCGGAGATACGTTGTAAAAGCCGACTGATATTAGTAGCCATTATTATTATTATTATTACACCATAGAAATACACTCATGCACTAAACGGAGATATTTTTGTGTGTATAGGTGACATTAAAATTTATACAACTGATATCCGTGAGCAGATTTTGTGGATGTTATACAAATAAATAAAGAGGTGATCCAACGGAGATATATATATATATACAGAAAGATAGGAGAAGGAAGTTAACTTTTGTGCAATCGTGTAATTTTTTTCATATTGTTCGAGATCTCAGTCAACTACTACGTACAAATACGACAATTGCTACCGTCTTTAATTCCAACTTTATATTGAACAATTGAATGTAACACATCTAAAGTAACCATGAATACTGATGATGTCAACCAGTGTAACCTGAATCATTTTAAACAATTCTATGAAAATCAGTTAACTGATTTAACCAGTAGTGATGAGCAAACTGATGAATCATCAACAAAAAATGAAATCAAAACAGTAGTTAAGCCAACAAAACGATCTAATTCATGTATCGACTATTCCAACTATATTTCTCGTTTTGAACCGGTGAAAAAACCTATTCCACAAGAAAAAAATCGACGTCTTGGTGTCTGGAAACCAGTAACATCATTTGTTACAAATTTACAATCAAAAATACGTAATCATTCAGTTTGTACAAGACCGGAACAGATGACACGATTTGAGCGTAAACCAAGCATTATAGATCATTTTGGTCGATTCAACGTTGGACATCCGTCTGGATGTCATTCTCCGATAGCTGATGATTGTATGGAAGAAGAGTATGATTTCTACCCCGATATTATACAGTCATCAGGATTACTAACAAATGATGACCTCTCAAATGAACCGGATAATAGTCGGGTAAAATATCCACGATATATGGAAAATGATGATTTGTCCAAGACATGTACTGGCTCTTCTAATGCTCCGGTCCTTGTTAGATTGAATGTCAGTGGAACAATATTTCACGTACGACATAGTACACTAAAACGGGATCCTTTCGTTTATGGGAAGATGTTAGAAGATGCTATATGGATTGCACAGACACGTGAATATTATTTTGAAAGGGATCCTGAGGTGTTCCGATTTATACACAGTTATCTACGTAGAGGTGAATTACACCTACCGCATGGAATGTGTGGTCCACTAGTTGAAAAAGAATTGGATGACTGGGGTATAGCACTTGGTCTGGATATTCAAAGATGCTGTTTAGGTCCTGTAATGGAAAGCAAATCAAAAATGGAATCTTTACAAAAGTTTGAACATAAACTGGAACCAACTGTTGTACGACCAGACTATTGGATTCAGTAAGTGTCTGAATTACACTTTTTAAAATCATTTTATTACATCTACTGATTCATCGGATTCCATCTTTTATTAAAAGTAATATCTCTGACTGCAGTACTAGGTGACTTGGGTTGAAATCGCAGGTGCGATATCGATTCTGTAGAGGTTGCAGACAAGCTTTTCTGATGAGCGCCAAAAGGTGCAAAACCTAGATTCAGCAGGGCTTCCTGTCAATCATCTCCAGCTGTCTGACATGAACCAAAATGCATCATGATTGTGAGACTGCTGTCGTGGTGAGGATATCATAAAATGATAAATCAGGTTTAGTCAGCCCAGAGGATCAGACAACATGAACTTTGTTGTTTCCAGTGACCAATGTAATGCTCTAGTTGTTATAAAGTAAGATTTAGCAAAAGAAACACTAATCTAAGGCATAACCTAGGCTTACATAATCAATAAATTCTGATCGTCAGTCGGTTTTCGATAATATGACAAAACTTTTCAACCAACTGATGAATAACTGACTTGTTGTGGCCAACAGTGGAATCCTGGATGCACGTTTCGTTCTATCTGGGACTCCTTAGCTAGACATGGCTGCATCCCAGTGAGTGATGACGCACCTAACGTAACTCTTACCCATCGCTTCTACCGCCAAAAAGTTAGCTGTTGCTAGCTACAGCAAGTCAGTTAACAATAGATATTCAGGCAATATAGAGGTATCAGCACAGGAACCCAAATGTCAACAGAGTTCGGCCAATTCGATCTAGTATAACAATGGAGAATTAAAAGTACCATCAAGTTATAATGGTCAAGTAGTTTGCATATTATGGTCCTGCCAAATACCACTCGTCATCCGGATGATAGTAAAAATGAACATAGGCGCATGAATGTTTCTTTGACTAAACACCAACTTCATCGGAGTCTCAGCTCGGTGAAAAGGCTCACTAAAATATTGAATTAGGTGTTGCTGCTTAAAATAAATGATATTCAGTTCTAGATATAATAATCGCATATATTTAACATGCGACAAAACTACCTTTTACCATGAGTTTCAGTCAAAATACAAAGTGATGGATGCACTTCCAGCCAGCTGATTAAAATAAGCATATTTTAATTGGGTATTTCAAGAAATAAAAGCACATCTCAAAATCCGTCTACAGTCCAAGTCTTAGATTATAAACCAGAAGTGTTACTTGATTGACTGACAGATAATACAGCTCTACTGGTCAAACTTCAGTAAATAGAATAAGACAAGAACCTATCAGACACTGAATTACAGATGACAATAATTTCTTTATGCACATTTAACAGCTTAGCTAACGGCAACTTGTTATACCATGAAGTGGTTTAACCTACATGCTTATACCTCATATACTTGTTGAACAATGCTGGGTGTATTGATGGTATCAAATAAATTATATTCAACTGAAGTTCTCAAAACATATGAATTATTTTCAATTCATCATATTCTTCTGAATAACACTTCCAACAACGCAATCCTCTTCTCTGATATTATCATTTAGTAAAACCGCTTGATTTTAAGTCTCTCTTTCTGCTGAATTCATCTGTCAGCATAAATGATGACAAACGCAGCTGAAAATAGTGGACTTCTGAGGAATATTCTACGTTGTTAGCGTCTCTGACTTCGAGTTTTTTTCGTATCATGAACACTTATGTGAAAAAGATAGAGGCAATTAATTGCCTTTTGACAGCGCAATTAAAAGTCGAAGTTTATCTGAAAAATGTGGTGTATTTGCGCAATACATTTCGAACAATCTGATCACACACACATTTCATTGTCTACTCAATATATATTAATAGAAGAGTGACAGAACAAATATAACAACTAACACAACAGGGGGATTAGAATTAAGAAAGATGAGAATAAACAGGAAGTAACCCCAGTTGATCTTAATCTTGGTAGGAAAACAAAGTTTATCAAGGTAGATGTAGTGTTGAATCCAGTTCGAAGCGAATTCTTCACCTTTCCAACTTGTCGCCTGTCTCAGTAACATGAATATCAAAAACAAGACTATTCACTCTTTCGAAATAAATTCTTTATTCACTAACATGGCGTTGTCCAAAAATATTAACAATCTCTGTGACTACATACCTTCTAGAAACCTCTGATTTCCTAAAAACTACAACTTTTTCCAGACAGCTATTATTACTGTTATTATTACCGAATAAGTTTACTTCACATTTGAAGGTGAACGCTTTTGACAAGTTGATGATGTATGTACCTATGGGTAGTCCGTTAAGACCACTACTAGCTGATATTTATGTCATATATCGAATATCTGGCTGGTGATCTCACCACTGAAGTTTCGCTTTACAAGAGACATGTTGGTGACATGATGGTGATTTATGAGAGGCATGAGGGTGTGGCTTGTCTACTAAAAGGACTTAACACCATACAGACTCACATCAGCCTGACTTACGAGAAAGAGAATAGTAATCATCTAGCATTCTTAGACATATTCCTGAGTCGACGAGAAGATGGTTCAACAAGACGGTCAGTTCATGCAAAGCCTACATGGAAGGGACAATACTTGAATTTTCGCAGATTGTGTCCAATGCAATGCAAGTGAGGTCTAGTGAAATGCCTGTTTAATAGGATCTGTCGTATCACCAAATCAGATACGATGGATAGAGAAATCAAATGACTGACAAAATCACTCATGGAAAGTGGATATGTGATGAAGTTTATAAACCGATGTAGAGGTTGAGTAGACCTGAAGCCAACTCTATACACAGTTGCTGAGATAAGCGTCTATATCACTGCAACCTACAGAGAGGAGTTGAATAGTATCATTTCAAGACTCACACTGACATCAACCATTAAGAAAACACATTACACAGCTAATCTTATCATTGTGGAAAAAACACAACACATGCTTCACTGAAAACCTAAACACTGCATCAATGATCATGTCACATCTCATTGTGTTTACCGATTTACGTGTGTGTGTGTGTGTGTGTGTGTGTGTGGTCACACATGTGTAGGAAGGAGTGATCAAGTCATGCAGTTGAGTGAGGGTGGGAGAACATGTACGGAAATGGTTTGAAAACGAATGGAGTGTGAAACCGTGATAAACACTGATGGCAGATCACCCTCTTCATCTATAGTTACACACATAATGGAAACAGGTCACTAAATTAATGTTCAAACAGCTTTCAAAGTTTTATGATGAAACAGTCAGTCAGTCAGTGAGGGATGCGTAATGAAATTTGTGGAAGCGATAGTCGTAAACAAACTGGAATCACCTTTATGTGTACAAAAACACTTTGTTCTTACACCAACCTTGGTAAACTTTGATTTCCTACCAAGATTAATATCCACTAGGATCACCTCCCGTTTATTCTCATCTTTCTTAATTTGTGTTAGTTGTTGTATTTGTTCCCCCACTCTTCGGTCTAATATATATTGAGTTTTATGGAGTTGTGGGGATTTGGAATATTTCAAGTTGTAATTCATCATAGACTGATATCAGTTGGAGGAACAAAGGAAACCTGGGAGCATTGGAAATCTGTTTCGTCCTAGTATGGTTTGGGCACAGCCTGATGGTTGTGAGTACAGTTACTCAACGATGACATTGGGTGGTGGTTGCTCTATATCGTGAGCTAACAGAAGTTTGCAATATGGACCATTGTATTCTGACCCAGTGGCTCAATGTTAACGCGCTGGCCATGGAACCTGAAGGTTGAGGGATTCGATCCCCGGTAGGGTCGTGGTGCGCACTGCTGAGGAGTCCCATACTAGGACAGAACAGCTGTCCAATGCTCCCAGGTTTCCTTTGTTCCTCCAACTTATGTCAGTGTACGATGAATAACAACTTGATATATTGAGTTGACAAATAAATGTGTGTGTGTATGTGTGATCAGATTGTTCGAAATGTATTGCGCAACTACATCACATGCATTGTTGCGATAAACTTCAACTTCTAATTACGCTATCAAAATTCGTAGAAAGAAATAACTTTTTCAAATTAATTGTCTGTTCACAGACTAGCTGACCAAGGGATCGGGTAGGTAGTTACAGTTGTTATTTATCTATGAACCTATACATAAGTAATGTAACAAACTTACTATGAAATTGCGTTCTAATCCTCCAATTTTTTCTTCGACAACTCTGATATTATAATGCTTATCTTCAATAAAGAGAATACTCTTGCAAATCCCTTGAAAATACTTCCAGTCACAATGAATAGTTAAGCACAACATGTTCTGAATGAGAAGAACTTTGTGGGTTCAACTGAGTTTATACAAATAACAGGAAAAAGTTTCGCTTACTTAATGGTTTGTTAATTCTTCTCAGTGCTTCTCCGAGGTAGATCACACATCAGAGAATCCGATAAGCGACTTATCCAACACTAATCAGATGTGTTTGGTATCTACATGTAGTATATATTTGAGGAAATTCGTCTCCTAAGTCTATTCACTGTATGAAAGCTGACTTGTGTAGATTCTATCTTAGTGGTTATACTTATCAACTACCGATCTTATTGTCATGTAGATCCAATTTGACTGACTTGATGAAAATGTCCATATAGATTGTGTAATCGGTGACTTATTTGTAGAGTTTAAAACATTCTAATCAGTTTAGATGACTCACAGACACGCCTCAGGTGTCAGCATCTAACCTAAACATGAATGGTTGATAGATGTCGGTCCTTCAACTGTCCCGAAAGTTGAGGAGGTTGCTTCTAACCTGAAACAAGGCAAAACTGGAGGACTTGACGATGTTGCAATAAATTTCCTAAAAATGGAGTTACGAAATCACTGAGTAGAGTCATGGAAGTAATAAGTGACACATGAGAATGAGAGGTATTCTCGTCATAATGGTATTCTTCACTGGTTGTTCCATTTTGTGAGAAAGGAGAGGTCTTCTTGTGACAACCATCGGAAATCAGTGAGACTAACATTGTGTCGAAGATCCTTGGATACATAGTGTCCCTAAGCCTAACTTAAGCTGTAGAATAGTAAACTTGAGGAAACTAGACAAGCTTCAAACCTGGAC